GGTTTACCTGGGCTCAACCCCAGAACGTGGCACCCTGGGTGGGTAAAGACAGCCAGGCTCCAGTGCGGGGTGCACGGCCAGGCACCCCCTGCCCCCCGCCATCGGGCTTCTGCTCCCTTTCTGTGGAACAAGCGGTAACCTCAGCCACGCACGTGAGCAGAAGGTGGGCAGGGATACCAGGAGAGACCCGAGTTGGCAGCCAGGCTGAGGGTCGGGGAGCCCACGCCCGCCCCGGGAAGGCCCAGTGTCTAGTTGGCCCCCGAAGCCTCTTGGGCTTCCTGGCTCACTCTGCTCGGCCACACTGGCCTCCTTGAGGTCCTCACTCCGCCCGGCGTGCCCCCGATCTCAGTGCTTGCTGCTCCCTCATTGCTCTGCTCCCCAGATCCCTGCCCGGCTCGCTCATCTCCTGCAGGACTCTGCTCACACGTCACTGCCCTGGTGCCTTCTCTGGCACCTGCCTCCGTGCGGTCTGCCCGTTTTGACCCGCCCGCCGCTCCGGAGCTTGGAGTACCTGCTGCAGCAGCTGGTGCAGACGCACGAGCTGACCCTCTGGGCCCATCCACGCACACACATACCAGAGGTCTGGAGACAAGTCCCCTTCCAAAGGACAGGTCCAGGAGCCCCGTGGAAAACCTCTCCTCCTCCCCCAACTCCTCTGACATGAGAGTCCTTTCTGGACGAGGAGGGGAGGCACCCCCTGCCCCTGCCCTGTGGGCCCCGCCCAGCCTCTGATGCCCAGGAGCCAGCACGACGTGATGCTCACACCCCTGCAGTGCAGGCATGCGGGCGGTAGCTGACGAGGCCCTCTAGACACACCCGTGGTCTCCACACGCATCGCGTCCCCACTTTCACAGGTTAGCAAGAGCATGGGCTCGGCGCCTGCCAGCCTAAACCTGAATAATGGCCCATGACGTCCTGGGGCGCAGCCTAGAGCAAGCCACCTACCCCTGGAACCCTCGGGGTCCACGTCAGCACGTGGACACCACAGGACCCACTTCACCAGCTGCCTAAGGTCATGAGGTGGGGAGGCAACAGAGTGAGGGTTTGAGGCCTGGACCTGGAGGCTGGGGCTGGAGTCGGGCGCAGGCGGGTGGCCTTACCTCACTGGAGTCCTCCTGCTGGTTGACCACGGTCAGGGCGTCCTCCGAGGCCTGCCGCCGGGCTTCAGCCAAGGCCCGCTCCATCTTGGCACGCTCTGTGCTGATGAGCTCGTGAGCCTTTCGCTCGGCGTCCGACACGGCTTTTTGCAGCTCAGACATCGCCTGCCGCTTCACCTCATTCACTGCCTCCTCTGCAAAGGATACACAGGCCGTGGTCCCGTGGCCCGGCCCAGCCGGGACCCCCTGTGTTGTGGGCGGGGCCTGTGCACCAGCGACCAGGCACACGCGTGCAAGCCTGGTCGTGGGGGCATCTCCCAAGCCTGGCCCTACCCTAGCGTTCCCAGACCTTAGCGTGCAGTGGCACTGCCCTGGAGGGCGTGGCCAAGCCCACCCCTGACTTGGATGCCACGGACGTGGGGAGAAAGAACCTTGGAACCCACGAGTTCCAAGTGAGGCTGATGCTGCCGGTGTCAGCACCCGCTTTGAGAACCAGAGCCGTACTGTTCGGCCCTGTGGACAGTCGGCCTCCCCTGTGGCTTATATGGAAGCAGTCCGGGGGATGCCCCGTCTAGGGCTCCGCATTCTTATCACTCCCAAAGCCCTCCGTCACCCACACCTGCGGCCTCCAGCCTGCTCCAGTCTGGAGATAAGCACACCGTCCTTGGTGTTGCTGTCGTGAGCTGAGCTGTCTGCCTAAGGCCAGAGCGTCTGCTTGGGTTTCGCTGTGCTCTCCAGCCCTGGCAACCACCCACGGCCTCTCAGGCCTGCCTCAGTTTCCCTGGCAGTGCTCTTCCTGCAGTGGTGTGAGGGGCCTGGGGTGGTGTTGAGCAGGGCTCCTCTTAAGGAGCCTTCTGTGCGAGCCTTCGCATGCTGGGTGTGGCGGAGCTGCTGGTCCCCAAGTCACCACGGGGGCGCCGTGTGGCTGTCACCAAGGGTCCACCACGGGCCAGATGGAGGCAGAGGAGACAGGGCAAGGGAAACGAGGACCCCATCCTCCTGTCCAGGCCTGGGCCTTCCCCCACCTTGCTCCAGGCAGCTGCAGCCCGTCTGTGGCCCCTTGGCCTCCGCGTCTGGGGTGGGACGCTCTCCTCTCTCTGCTCTCAAGATGCTGCGATTTTCTCCCTCTTCCTTACACTTCACATTGACTCCATCCACGGATCAAAGCATCTCAGGGACCCTGCTGCTTCTCTCCACCGGCGCCACCCCAGCTAAGCCCCCTCTCCCCGTCTCTCTTTCTCAAGCTGCCCACAGGCTCCTCCTTCCTCCTGGCCCTCCCCACAGTGTGTCCCCACGATGCAGGGAGCATCCCCCGCACGCTGTTCCATGCCCCACCCGGAAGGCCACAGGCACTCCAGCTCTCACTTTCTGTCACACGTGTGTCTGTGCACATGTGTGTGTGCGCAGGACCCAGGGACCTGCTCTGTTCTGCTGAGCGGCACCCTCATTTCCCTGCAGATGTCAGGTGGCAGATGTCCTACCCTGAATACTAAGTGCACTCCCACCCCTCATGCAGGGTCTGTAGAGCCCTGTGAGCTTTGCCACCTGAGCGCCCCACGCAGACGGAAGCTCCTTGCAGGTGAGAGGGCCAGGAGGGCACTCCTCCCACCCCCACGCCACCCCCCCCCGCCCCCGGCCAACTGCACTCACCAGCCTTTCTCCATATCTCCTCGGGCATGTAGCCAGAGAGGGTCCTAGGCATGAACTCCCGGTGGGTGTCTGAAACAGAGGGACGCCAGCGTCATGCACAGAACAGGGCCATACTCAGCTGGGTAAGGGGAACACGGTGTGTGTCCTTGAGGGGGGGTCCTGCGACGTGCCCCTGGGTGGAAACCCTGTATCCGCTGCTGGTGTGGGGCAGGGCAATGTCAGGAAGGAGGATGCTCTGGAGCACCTTGGACTTGGCTGGGACCTGGGCCTGTCCTGGACTTCTCTCGGTTTCTGTGGTCATCTTCCGAGTCTGGGCTTCCGGTGGTTCGGGGTGTATCTTTATGCGGAGCAGAAAAGGCACCTCCTTTCCCAGGGAAACTCGTGGGTTGTATTTTACTGTAGTGCCACAATGGGGGTGCAAGTCTTGGTCCTCGGTGCCCCTGCAGTGTACCCCCTGCCCCCCATGATGCCTCCTGGGCACGCACCTAGCTGAGACCCCTCTGCGCCCACGGAGCTGTTGAGGGGCCGGGCGGTGGCAGGCACGGGGCCCTTCTTGGCGTCCTCAGTGTCGCTGTAGCGCCGGATCCAGTGGTTGAGCTCCTCGCGGTCAGCTTCTTGGCACTGGCGCAGGACCGTGAGTGACCGCCGTGTCTTCTCAGCCATGTCCATGATGCAGTTCAGAAGCTGTGGGCGGGCGGGCGGTGGTGGTGAGCATGTGGGGCTGGGTGTGGCTGCTCAGTGTGGGGGATGTCCAGGGAGTTTCTCCTACACCCTGGGCCTGGGCCAGCCTGCTGTCCATGAGGGCTGGCCACAGTGAGCTCAGAGCCACAGTGTGAAAATCGCCTCCCACTGCCTGGAAAGGCACCAAGCATGGGGCTGGGGGGGTGAAGATCAGGCTTTTAGTCTGGGGCTCTCCTTTCAACTCTCCCGGTTGTGTTCTGCCCTGGGGAGAGCAGATGGGCCTGAACTCCTCTGGGGACCACACCTGCCTGGGCTCCCTTCCCACAAAGGAAGTGGGGGAGGGATAACCCTGAAAACAGTGTGGAAGGCGTCCCAACCGCCACCAAACCACCTTGCTCCAGAGACAGGGAGGCTCTGTAGGGCGGAGATGGGAAGGTTCTGAGGGGCTGACCAGGAGCAGAGTTCCAGTTGAGGCAGGCAGGCGCCTAGCAAAGCGGAGCCCACAGTGAGCCTGTCCCCCCACCACCTCCCTATGCCCCCCACAGCCCCAGGGCCCCACAGCCTGGGCGGAACCCCAGGAGTCCCGCGGCCCCAGGCCTGGACACTCACGTTGTTGAGATGCTTCCACTCTTCTGCCCACTCCCGCTCCGTGAGCCTGTGGTCGATCACTTCCTCCTGCCGGGACCCGTGCACCGCTGCAGGGGTGTGTGGATGCTCAGTCGCCGCCCAGTGTCCCAGGCCCCCCTGTCCCCCAGACCCCGTCCCTCACCCCAGGCCATGTCCTTTCCTGTGTCCCCTCCCCAGCCCCAGCCCCATGCCCTCCAGGCCCCGCCCCTCACCTAGGCGCCCCCGCCTCAGGGCCACCGGCCCTGCCCTGTGCTCCCCAGGCCCCGCCCCTCACTCCAGACTCCGCCCTCTACTCCCCAGGCTAGGCCCCTCGCCCCAGGTCCCGCCCCGTGCTCCCCAGGCCCCGCCTCAGGGCCCCAGGCCCCGCCCAGGCACTCCAGGCCCTGCCCCCGTGCTCCCCAGGCCCCACCCCTCACCCCAGTCCCAGTCCTGGGGCTTGGCTTTGCCTGCGTGAGGGAAGTGGACAGGGTGAGGAGGGGCACCCTGGGCATTGACCCTCTGTCCACTGCCTTTGGGGGGAGGTCAAGAACAGGCCTGGCCTCTACTCAATGTTTGGGAGGAAGAGATGGGTCCCCACCCCTCAGTCTAGGCTTGGCCACCCCTCCCCTACCTCCCTGTCTGCAAATGCAGCATAGCTCAGTCTTCCTGCCCTGCTGCCCATGGAGGCTGCCTCAGGCCCCACTTTGATGGCCTTGCCACTCTGGCAAAGCCCTCAGGGGCTCACCGGCGGCTGCCTGGCTCCGGCCCATGCTGTCCTACCTCCTCTCAGCCCACTGAACTCCTACACACCCCTCAAAGCCCAGGTCCCAGGCCCCGTCCTCAGCAGCCCCAAGCCCTTCAGGATCCATTCAGCCCCACACAGATCCACGTGCTAGACGGTTCTGGCCGCTTCCTTGTTTACTCCGTCCCCGAAACTGGCTATGTCTCCTGGGCAGGAGGCTGTGCTCTGGCTCATCTGCTGGGTCCAAGTGGGGCGCCCTGGGAGACAGTGGGGTCTGGGAAACCTAACACCCCAACACTTGCTCCCCAGGTCCCGCCCTCAGCACGCCGCATCCGTTTCCCTACCCTGCCGACCTTCCGGGGGTGCACAGGAGGGGAGGGCCCTCCAAGGGAAGTTCCACTGTCACTCCCATCCAACAGATGAGAACACTGAGGCTGGCTCAGGGCATGCAATTGCCCAAGGTCACCCAAGGTCAGCCCAAGCCTCAACGGTGCCCTCAGCTACTGGCTACTACAGCTCCAGAGGCTGAAACAATGGGGTGTCCCCCCTCCAAGCTGCTGCTGAGAAACAAAACCACTCTGAGCTGAGGAATTCATACCAGTGCAACAGTGTGTGCCTGTCCTCATGTGGTTTCTGACATATCAAATGCTCTCAGCCGCAGGCTGGTTTGGGTGCCCCTGCCATGGTGCCCCGAGCCTACACCGAGTGACCCCGAGCTGCCCAGTGCTGCCCAAGCTGGGGTCTCTCTGTGTAGGCCTTTTCCAGCCCCGAAGGGTCTCCTAGCCTCCCCGAGTGCAGCAGGAGAGGCCGCAGCCCCCCCGTCCCCGCCGCCGCCGCCCTCGGAACCCAGGCCACGCCAACGCCCCAACCAAAATAGTGGCTGAGATCTGCCTGACAGCTGGTGTTTATTTTTGCATTAGCAGGAGCGGGTGGGAATTAGCACCTGCCCGGCCCGGCTGCAGGGAGCCAGACACTGTCACCTGCTGCCTGGGCCCAGGCCCTGGAAGCTTCCGCAGGGTTGGGGTGGGGAGATGGCCTTGTACGGGGTGAGGCCTCTGCTGACCCTGCCTTTGAGCCCCCCACTGGTGCCCTGGGACGCTCAGCTGTTTCCAGGCTGTCCCCCCACATGCTGGGGGGCCCCCCAGGGTGTGGGCTGCTCCTCTTCCTCTCAGTCTCCAGCACAGAGGGGGTCGGAGGGTCAGGCAGACGTGGCCAGGAGGCTTTGGGCACATGCGTGGGGTTTCTGGGCCTCCGCATCTGTGACGTGGGCCTGCCGACGCCCCACACACCCATACTACCAGCATCGGGGCCCGCTGCCCCTGTAACAGGGGAGAGGAGAGGACGCTGCCCTCCACACCAGCCCTTCGTCCTCCCGGCCCCATGTGAATGCTCCTCACACCACCTGAGGGGCGGGACTCCAGTCAGATCAGCTGACAGAAGAAGAGCCGGAGGCCGGGAGGCCACGTGGTGCACCCGAGGCTGCTGGGTGGGGATCTGGTGCTGCGCAGAGGGTCCGGGCTCCTGCATCTCCCGCCCCTGTGCACAGCTCGCTCACTGTGGCCTGGTGCTGTGGGGCTCACTCTCATCCCGCTCAGAGAGCATAACGGGATGTGTGTACTCAGTGGTGCTCAGTGAGGGCTCGTGAATCTTAGGGGGGCATTTGCTTTCCCTCAGGGTGCCTGGGCCCAGAGCGTGGGAGTGCCCTGGAGGCGCGAGCTGCAGCACCTGTGGTTCACGTGCCCACCCTAAAAAGGGGGTCTCTTCCTGGCTGGCCGTGACGCCAGCCTCCCGCTGCCCTGAACACCGGGCCCCGCAGCATCCAGGCTGAACACCCCGTGTGTGTACCTGGCCAGTGGCCAGTGCCCCTCTAGTTTCTCTAGGTTCCCTCAGGCCCTGTACCTGCCCCTGCCCAGCCCCCAGGGACAGGCACCGCTGCAATCACAGCCCTTCCCCTGGGGGAGGGAGGCCCCCCACCCCGACCCTGAAGGTGAGGGATGTCCAACCCCAAGACAGAGGTCTGGGAAAGACGGCCCTCCCTGAGGCTCAAGGGCACAGCCCAGCAGGGTGTGGTTTCTCTGGGCCCCAGGGCCCCACCCGACTCAAACCATCTCCCCATACCCATTTCCTCAGCATCCTTCCTGCACAGACAAGGCCGGGAGGGGTCAGCATATCTCGCCCGCGCTGACGTGCTCGCCGCAGCTCTGTGCAGCTCCCCCAGCCGTTCAGGCCCACGCGTGCCCCTGCTCCCCGGCGCACCGCTCACCGAGTTGCCGATGGCGCTCCCGCAGCTCCCGGGGGTCAGGGTGGCGGTAGGAGTCGCGGAAGTGGTGGGCCATGGCCATGTCCTCGAGGCGGTAGTGCGGGGGCGTGGGGTGGGGCAGCCCATTGCTGGGGCTGTAGCGCTGGGCGGGGCTCAGGGTGCACGGCCGTTTGCTGAGGTGGTCAGGGTGCAGCGGGTCACGGTCCGACCCGTTCTCTTTGGTCCTGACCCAAAGAGCAGGCAAGGTCACCGACCACGAACCGTGGACAAAAGCCCAGGCAGGAGGGGATGAGAGGGAGACAGGCACGGGCAGGCCAGACGGCTGTGAGGGGGAGGGACGAGGCCCCCCCACTCTCCCTCCTCCCCTGGGGCTCGTGCCAGCCTCCAGCGCCCACTGGCGTCTGGGCTCCGCGGCCGGGGGCCAGGGAGCTGGAGCCTCTGCTGAGGGAGTGAGGAGACGGACACGCATTCTCCAGCGGCCAGACAAGCGCCCAGCTCCGTGGCCAGCACTGAGGGCCAGCCAGCGCCTGGGGACCTCAGATGCCCGGACGCTCAGGTCCTCAACCAGCCCAAGGCAAAGAGCCAGGCGGTTTCTGCCACACAGACTCCCTCCTGACCCCTCCTGTCCTCCCAGGGGCCATCTGAGTGGTCAGGATGCTGCGCCCAGCCCCGTGCGGTGGCCTTGCAGGCAAGGCTTGACGGCCTCGGCCGTGAGCTGCAGGCCACAGAGCGCAGCAGGAGCTCGGCCCGCATGCCGTCAGCCCTGGTACCGGGCGCCCGCTGTCTCGCCTCCAGCCTGCCCTCTCACCTGTCAGGTGTTCTCCTCTTGCCATTGTCATTGACTTCCAGCAGGAGCTCGGAGGAATCGATGGGTGAGGAGGCGTTGGCGTCCAGTAGGAGCTGCTCATGCTGGGCCAGGTACTGGGCAGGGGTCTGCTTGGCCAGGCGGGCGCAGTGCAGGAGCTCCCTCTGCAGCAAGGGCAGGTTTGCCTGCGTTGGGGGAGAGGGGACTGCGGTTGTGGCTGACAGGGGCCAAGGCTCCGTGTGCGCTGATGGCTGGCAGCCAGCCCTGCTTTGTGACCTCGGGCATGTGGCACCACCTCTCTGGGCCTGTGTCTCTCCACTGCGATCTGGGAATGGGGCTGGGCACACGGATTTGAGGTGCAGTGGAACCCCGAGCCCAGATCCTGGCTGCCCAGGCTGGGGTTTTTCCACGTCACCAAGCTTCCTGCCCTGGGGGCACCTGGAGAAGGACAAGGAAGGGACCATAACCAGGACTCCTTGCCTTCACCTGTGGGAGCAGACATCAGATCACCCCTGTGCAGAGCTGAGGCCCAGCTCTCCAATACAGCTGACTGTAAAAGGGGGGGGCTGGGAGCAGCACCCCACGTGTGTGCTCCAGACCCCAGTGTGCATCCCCAGCTCTCCCACCTCCCGTGGGTGCCCAGCCCAGCCCTGAGCAGCCTGGAGCCCACATCACGCATGGACGCGTGCCCACCCCACTTGGAGCCGTCACACGCGTCACCTCCCGCGATCCTTACAACCATCTGCAGACACACGAGACAACTTGGTTCCCCATTTATGGTTAAGGAGAACAGAGCACGGTGAGGAGGACACGTCCAGGACGGGGCATGGGATCCAGGTGCAGTCCCCACCCGCAACGCCGTATGCAACCACTGCGCCCCCACGTCTGCTCCAGCCCCACCTCCTGTGTGTGCCGCTGGAGGGCAAGCGGGCTCCTCCAGCCGTCCACCGTCTTCCCAGAGCCTCGCGGCACAGCAGGGGATGGGCTGGATGGGGGCTCAGCGGCAGGCTGCTTGGGAGAGCCGGCAGCTCCAAGTATTCATAAATAAATACAATTCCCCAACTTTCTCATGGCATTTCAGAGTGGCCGCCTCTGCCTCTGCAGCCCCCCTGAGCGCATCCACCCGGACCTGATCAAGCAGCCGATGAGTTTTTGTCAAGCAGAGCCGGCTGCAAGGCCTGTTTTTCTATTTGGATAGCTGAACGGGGGCCAGCCTGCCATCTGCCGAACACGTTAGGAGCATGAGCTGGGAAAGGAGGTCCCGGGAGGTCTGAAGACGCCAAACATCCTCCCTCTCCCCTGCCGGCCCCCCCTCCCGAATGGCCTCCCTTGGCTGGCTCAGCAGGGCGGGGACCGCAGGGGCACCGGCTGGCCGGCTGGTCGCTGTTAGGGCCGTGGAAACATCTGGATTCCCGGCCGGCTGGGGCCAGCTGGGAGCCGGGGCTGCGGGTGGAGGGCCGGCCGGGTGGGGCAGCGTCTCCCAGCTTCCGGAAAGCCCCACCACGTAGCCACGCGTGGTGTCAGCCTGAGCAGAGGGTTCGGGGGTCTAGGGGCCCTTGGTGGCGGCGAGGGGAAGGGGGAGCCCCAGGCCAGAAGACTGGGCGGGGGCTGTGGGGTGGCTGCTGCCTCTGGGGCAGCAGTCCCTACTGTGGGAGGGGAGGCCTGGCCACCCAGATGCAGACAGGCTGCGCTGGTCACCAGAGCCCCGTGAACACCGACATGGCAGGAGGGCCCAGAACTACCTTCTTCACAGGCAGGGACTCAGGCCAAAGGAAAATCAGTGTTTGCGCAGACAAGTGCGACCATGGGGTTGGCTGAGCTGTGACCCCTGTTTAATGAGGGCTTGTAGTGTTTCTGTGGCTCTGTCCAGGGCCTCCTCGGATGCCCAGACAGCCTGGGTGCTGCGGGCCCGGCAGTCAGCCCACCCTGGCTCTGACCTGGGACCCTGGGCGAGACACTTGACTTGTGTCTCATCTTCGAGTGGGGTCGTTCTCCTGCCCTGGGTGTGAGTTACCTCATGCATTCCTGCCCCCATGACGGGGTCACCGTGGGAGAGGCCTGAGAGCCCAGAGCTGGGGTCTGAGCCAGGCGGGCCACAGTTCCTGCCTCTTCTGCAGGGCATCGGGCACCCGCAAGGGCACACGCTATGGTGGGCCTGGTGGCTTTGAATCCTCTGGAAGGTGCTCCCCTTCCCAGGGCTCTGGCCAGCACCTCGTCACCAGGGCCTGCAGACGGAACTGGCTGCACCCCAGGAGCTCCATGTCAGGGAGACGGACTCCGTGTCCTTGACAGTGTGCTGGCCCCGAGCCCCGAGCCCCGGGTGGGGTCATAGGCACAGAGCGTGGCTGGCAGGCCCCGGTGACCACTAGAGCGGTCTCGGCGTGAGAGCCCCGGGAGACCTTCGAGCCCACTGTGGGCAGAGGGGACACAGAGCCAGAGAGCTCCGTCACAGGCAGTGCTGGGCCCCGGCGTGGACTACCTGGCACCGCGTTGGGGTGTGTCTGGGAGAACACTGGGGGGGCGGCGGCGCCGTGGGCTGGGGGCTGCAGGCCTGGCTGGGGCCAGAGCAGGGACACCGGATGCTCCCCGCTTCTCCGATAAACAAGGGCAGCTGAGTGGGCGGGGACATCTGCTGTAAATATTTGATCTGACCGAGTAAGCAGGCGTGCTGTGTCCCCAAAGATGGGGAGCGTGGAGTCAGCACTAAGTGGAAGGAGGGGAGGGCAGGGCCGGGCTCCTGTGAATTACAAGTGACAGCCAGATGGGCCCAAACCCTGGTGCCGCTGCTGGCGTCCCGGCTCAGGGTGCGAGCGCAGCAGGGTGTGGGCGGGAGGGCAGGAAGGAGGGAGGAGAGGACGGATGTGGGGCGGGACCCGGGGTCCCCTTGACAGGGACTGTCGGGACCTCGGTGCCAGCCCAGGGCATGCCTGCAAAGGCCTGGGTCCAGCCAGACTCCACCTCTCTACCGGGGGCACCTGTGAGCCAGGAACGGCGGGCGTTCCTGCACCGCCCCCTTCACAGGGTTGCGGCCGGGCGGGGGTGGGGGGGTCAGCAGGGGCGCTGCAGAGAGCTTTGCAAAGCATGCCTGGTCCGCAGAGTGTTTAAATGCCCTGATGAGGATGCCCCAACGTGAAGCAAGCATCTGCCCCCTTCCCAATGGGCTGAGGATGACGCCCATGGCAGGTTTGCAGAAACCGAGTCAGAGAGGGGTGAGCTAGCTCGGCCAGGCCGACAGCAGCGGCCCAGCGGCAGGGCTGGAAGCCGGGAGCATCTGGCCTTGTCTGTCCTCAAGCCCCTCTGGAAGGCAGCCCCCCCAGGGCCCGCCGCACCAGCGAACAGGGCCCAGGGAGGTGGCATCTGCTAAGTGAGCTCTGTGGAACCCTGATCCCCGGAGGGCCCCAGAAGTAAAGGGTCACAGGGTCCCATCCATTTGGGAAGCGTTTCACCTTTGCCCTCTCTGGGAGATACAAGACCCTCCTTGTGGAGGGAAGGCCCTGAGAAGCGGGTCCAGCGGGTCTAGAACTACACTTGTCCTGTTGTGTACGCACACACCAATCACCCAGCACCTTGTCAGAATGCAGGTTCCGACTCAGGGGCTCTGGGCTGGGGCCCAGGAACGTGCATGGCTCACAAGCCCTCGTGTTGATGCTGCTGTGGGCCCGGCACCACCCTCCCCCTGCAGAGGCCCTGGTCCACTGTTGGCCTTCCGCGTCGGGCTGCACGGCCCTCATTGTCTCTGACGCCCACTCATCCACCCGTCTGCCCCTCTCTTCCCTCCGGTCCGGCCTCACGCCAAACACAATAGGCACAGTCCTGCCGCGGGCCTCCGCGCCTGCTGTCTCTGAGGCTCCGCCCCCCGCCATCCACCTGCTTCCCTCCCTCATCCTCCTCAGCCTGCACCAAATGCCCCCCATCCGCACCGGTCTGTGGCCACTGTTGGTTGGCTGATCTCCCTCCCACCGTGTCCCCAGGCCTCATGCACAGCCAGGCACACAGTGGGTACTCAAAGCATAGCTGTTGAGAGGATGAGTGCATTTGAGCAATACTGCAGGACTGAGCTGGGGAGCTCTGTGTTAGACCACTGGGTCTGGAGGTCAGCGCTGTTCCCACGCGGGACCCTCCAGTGTGGGCCGAGCGTGGTGCCTGATCACAGTGGGCGGGGAGCAGATCTGGGACTCTGCGGAGGGCCCAGCGACAGGGAGAGATGGATGCATGCTTACCTTCAGGAAGGGGATGACAAATGGACGCAGAGGGAAATTGGTGGCCTCTTGGAGCTTGGAATGGAACTCCTCGATGGTCAGCGTGGAGTTCTGCGCGAGGAAACACACCTGCAGTCGGCCCGAGTCCCACGACCCAGCTCCGCAGACCACCAGGCCTCTGCCGCCCGCCCCACTCACCACGAGCCCCAGCACCAGCGTGCGGACGCGCTCCCCGATCTCCGGGGAGATGTCGCTGCCAAACTGCTGCAGGGTGGTGAGGAAGCGCTTGAGCTTGCTGAGCTGCCGTGCCCCACAGGCCGGGGGCAGGTGCTGCGTGGACAGCGAGGCTGTGGATGAGGTGGCTGGGCCATTGCTGAAGCCGCTGGGTGTGGACGGGGCACCGTTGACGGCTGTTGGTGAGTGACTGCCGTTCATCACTGCAGGAAGGAGAGGGGGGCTGAAGACGACAGCTGAGAGAGGCCACGGGCTGTAGCCAGCAGGCGTGCCACGGGGGCTCTGGACGCCCTGCATGGATGTCCAGACTGGGGCCCAGGCCAGCAGCGGGTGGGGCTGGGCCGCCCAGCTCAGAACCACCCGTTGGCCTTGCTCTGGGCTGCACGGTCAGGCCCCTCACAGCGAGGGGGGGACACCACACCAGGACCCCGCCAGTCTGCTCAGGTGTCCGCTGGGATCAGGCAGAGGAGCTTCTCCTCCAGGAGGGACCTGCAGGCCTATGTCCCCCTTTCCGGGAATTGGTGGCTCACCCTTTCTGAAAGGCCATGACCCTCACCTCTGCCACGACAGCCCCAAGTGTTGCCCCATGGCCTACACAGGCCCCATCGCCTGGGCTGACAGGGCTTGGGGTGGGGCAGAGGGCCCTGGACACCCTGGACGAGTGGGGTTGGATCCTGGCCAGGAGGCTCCTGGAGGGCTGCTGTCTGGGGCTGCCACCACCCAGGTGTGAATGCCCAGGAGCCCTGGGCTGTGTGGGGAGGACAGGCAGGGGACCGGAGGCCCCTGTGATGAGCACACCGCAGGGGTCAGAAGAGCGGCACTGGTGGTCACCAGGGCCCCAACACCGGAGTCAGTGTCCCAGGACTGGTGAAGACCTGGGGTCACTGTGCCATGCCCTGAGACAAGACCTTACTCCTCAATGAGCCTGCGCCTTGCCTACACCCCAGTCCCCTGGCTTCAGGAGCCTGAGCCTCAATGACCAGGGTCTGCAGATCCTGAGATGTCAGAGATCGTGGGCTGCCAGGGCCCTTGGTAACAGTGGTCGGGGCTCCAGATGTGGGAAGGGAGGTTGGCACATGTGGGAGTCCTGAGGCTTATCTGATACATCCAGCAGCCACTCACCTTGCCCCTTTCAACCTGCCGGGGCACCTGCTCTGGGCAGCTTCCTGTGTTCACACACTGAGCCCCTTGCACACTCACCGGCCTGCCCCTGAACGCACTCCTTACATGGTCTGAACCCCTAACACATGCCTTCCCTTCCCCACCTCCACTCCCTGCCTCAGCATCCTTACACACACTCCTATGCACACACACACAACACACACTCATGCCTATACACATGTACACGCATGCACCTGCACACACACATGTGCACATGCACCTACAAACATACCCATGTACTCTCAGACCCACATACACACATGGACACGCACACACACATGCACTAAAGACACACATGCAAACACATGCACACACACGTGTACACTCAACACACATACACATGCACACACGGACACACATACACAAGGACATGCATGCACACACGGACACATACACAGAAGGACATGCATGCACACACGGACACATACACACAAGGACATGCATGCACACAAGGACATGCATGCACACACAGACACACAAAAGACATGCATGCACACATGCATACACATATACACAAGAACATACATGCACACACGGACACATACAAGGACATGCATGCACACACGGACACACATACACACAAGGACATGCATGCATACACAGACACACCTACACACAAGGACATGCATGCACACATGCACACACATGTGTACACACATGCACACACCGACACACATGCACACAAGGACGTGCAAGCACACATGCACACACATGCCTACACATGTGCACACTCACACATGCACACACATAGACGCACACACATGTGTACACACACATGCACACACGGACACACACACACAAGGACACACATGCACACAAAGACACATGCACACAAGGACATGTATGCACACATGCACATACACATGCACACACGTGTACACTCACACACATGCACACAAGGACGTGCATGCACACATGCACACACGTGTACAGTCACACACACATGCACACAATGCATACACGGACGCACACACGCACACACATGCACACGTGTACACGCACAAATGCAGACACACAAGTACATGCATGCACACATGGACACACGTGCACACATATGTGTACACTCGCACACATGCACACACGTGTACACTCACATACACATGCACACAAGGACACACATGCACACAAGGACATGCATGCACACATGGACACATACACACAAGGACATGCATGCACACACGGACACACATATACGCAAGGACATGCACGCACACACAGACACACACACACAAGGACATGCATGCACACACGGACACACGTATACACACACACACATGCACACAGACAAATGTGCATATGCAGCCCCACGCACCCAGACCTGTGTGTATGGTGGCACCCATGTATGCGCACAGATGCACACGCACATGGACATCTCTCACTCACTCGGCTGTGGTCCCCAGGCCCACGCCCCGCCCCTCCCCCCCCATCCAGCTGGGCCTGTGCCCAGGGGCTGAGCCGGGGAGTCTGGGGAGGCGGGCAGGTCAGGGCTGCTGCACCCTGAGGATGGAGTTTCTCGAGGCTCCAGGCCCTCCCTGGACCCATGGCTGAGACCTGGCCGCCTGTGAGTGTGGAGATGGGGAGCAGGAGCTCCTTTCTCGGGGATGGGGATGCGGCCCGGGTCAGCTCTGTGAAGCGGCTTCTGCTGAGTGTCAGGCGTGTCTGCTGTTGACCCTGCTTGCTTTGGCCGCTGGGGGTGTGGCTGTGCCGCTCCAGACCACGCCCGCCCTGCCCATCCTGACCAGGCCCTGGGAAGTGTCCTCTGCACACACTCTTGGCCTCACCCGGCCTGGAGGGGCAGCCCACATGCCAACCCCCTCCCTGGGCCTCAGCCCTCCCCCAGCTGTGGCTCTCCTGGGTCCTTGTCACCCCCTCCACCTGCCCTACAGGCCCGAGGGACACAGCTCCCACTGAGTCCAGCCCCAGGGCTGCACTGTCTCCCATGGGCTCTGGAACTGGCCCATCCCTGGCCCCCAGAGCCCTCTGGTGAGTGCCCTCGGTTAGCCCTGAGGCTGCTGTCTGGTGGGCACTGCCTGCCCCAGATGCTGCCCGCACGTCCAGCTGTGACGGCTGGCTCCGCCCCACGGACCTGCTTCCCAGAGACACCTGCAAATGTCCCTTCCTGACTCACTGCGCTGGACTGCTGGCCACAAGCCAGGCACCCCATCCGCAGGTGGCAAGGCTCACTATTATCACGCACACTCCATACAGTTCCCCAGACGGCCTGCCCCACCGCAGGGTGACCCCAGCACCCATAGGCCCTCAGCAGCAGCCGACACAGCTCTGCCCTCGTGGGCAGGAGAAGCCGCCCTGGCTGGGAGGGGGCATCCTGCCCGAGGCCTCACATCTGCCTGGACTAGCCCAGGGAGGTGAGAATGGGGGCTTGGCCTCAGTTTCTTCATTTGCAAATGGGCCTCAGCCTAAACCCGAGGACGGGTGCCCGGCCCCCTTCTGCTCCATGCTTCCCTGGATTATAGAACCTCTGCTACCCTTCTACCACCGGAAGGAGCTGGGGATGCTTAACCCTGATTGCTTCTGTGTGTTGGGGGATCACTCATCACTTGTCAATAATTGGCTACCACTTAGCAGAGGTTTGGAAACCACTGGCCGAAGGCCTCCTGTCCTGAGACGGGGACCGAGGACTCAAGTCAGCTCTCCCCTCCCCAGGAGACACCAGGCAGTTGGAGCCCGTTTGCCCCTGGTCTGAATGATCTCGGAAGCCTGTTCTAGGGCCTTGAAGGGACACACCAGCCTCGGAGTGTCACCTCATTCGGGGGCTTCCCTCGCTCTTTGATGGAGAGTGAACGCCAAACACAGGCAGGAAGCGTCCCCGTCCCTCACCCTCTCTGAGGTGCTGTCCGGAGGACCCTCCGATAGAGCAGGAGACCCCACTGTTGTGCCAATTTTCTCTCTCCCTGGTGGGCTCCAGCCGACGCCCTGGTCAAGCGTGATGACAGCCGCTGGCCGTCACCCTGGCCAGGCCAGGAAATGGCCCTGCTGCCACGATGGTCTCAGCTCACCACAGCGCGGGGCTGATTCCTCGCAGCAGAGCTGGACCGTCACCGGGGTCTGGATCTTCCGGAGGCTTCTAAGACGAGCGGCTGTGTCTACCTCCTGGGTCCCCACCGGCGGCTGCCCGCCCCGCCTGGGCCTGACCTCCCTGCAGCTCTCTTACCAGCTTGCCTTCGGCGCCTGGGTCCTCCCGGTGGCCGCTTGCCCTCGCTCGCCCGTGTTCCCTCCCGCGGGCTGCCGGGCAGTCTCAGCAACTTGCTAAAGAGACGCCGAAAATAACCCCCGGCCACAAGCGCTTTCATTCCCACAACAGGTGTGTTACTAAGTTAGACCGCACACGTGTCCCCGGCTGAGGTTTGGGGGCACACGCGAGCACCCCTGTGGCTCCCCGGGCCCAGGGGCCTGGGCGGGGATCGCCCTGGGACAGGGAACCCAACGAGCAGCCACTCCCGCCAGCCCCTCTCCCCGTCAGCGCTGTGGCTCCGGGGACACGCTGGGCGCCAGACCCAGGCCAGGCGCGGCTCCCACCGAGCAGTAAGGACGACGGTATCGCGGGACGTAAATAATGCAGGACCCACACGTCACCTCCTGCTCAGAGCCTGGGGGCTCCGCGGGGCCACCCCGGGCCGTGCAGCCCCCTGGCGTAGAGTCGGGGCCTGACCTGACCGCACTCGCTGGCTGACAAACTACGAGCACGGCCCTCAAGCGTTTTCTGCCACGGGCCTCAGCTGTGGCCCCGAGACTTGGGCAGAAATGTCCACCGGCGACCGAGCACCCTGTGTGTCCCGGGCCCCGTGTGAGACCAGGAGCGTCTCATGGCTCCTTGTAGTTGCCCTTGGCACTAGGTGCTGGGATGACTGCCGTTTGACAGGTGAAGAAACCGAGGCACAAGTGTGGTACCTGCCCAAGTCACTCAGCCAGGGGGGGTGGGAGCTGGGGCCTGAGGCGGGCCGGGGTCTGCCCTTGAGACGGCCAAGCGACTGACTTGCTGTTGACATCGGATCTTCTCACAACTCTGGGATCTGGATCTGCCTTATTCACCCTGCTCTGTGGTTGGGGAAAAGGAGCTCAGAGAGGCCCCCCACCTGCCCAGTGCCACACAGCTCATGAGTGCAGGGCAGCTGTGAACTCGGATCTGACTCGGGGCTCTGCGCTCTGCTCCCTGGGCCTGCCCCCGGCCCCCTCTTCTAAGGGAGGCAGGGCTCATGAACACAGCAGATGCAACAATAACGGGGGTGCAGGCTGTGGGGCCACTGCCGTGGCCTTCCCGGGGCAAAGGCTGCTGGGGTGAGGACCTCCCAGGAGGCTGCGGTTTTTGTTATTTTACTTACAAAGACAGACCATAGACCACTTTAAGCAGCCATGAAAACGGCCGTGGGGCAGGGACATCGTGGGCCCGTCTTCTCGATCTGTAAGCAAAATAAGAAAAACACCCTGTCAGGAAAGAGCAGGTGGGTGGGCAGGGCCGCCCCTCCCCTCTGTCTCTCCACAGCAGTTTTGGGGACTGGGACTCTGTCACCACCTTGGGCCGGTCCATTCTCTTCTCTGGGCCTCAGTTCCTCTACCGTAAAATAACGGCGTTGTATTGGGGGTTCTCTTAGGGCCATTTCTGGGAGGACCTTCTAGAGCTCAACAAGCCCCGTAGTGTCTCCAACCGGCATGGGTGGGACACCCTGGTTCCTAAAAAGCTCTCTTCCTGGAAGGCGCCCTATAACCCCACTTGGCACCATCCTCAAGGGACCCGGAGCCCAAGCCGACAGGGTGTGAGGTCCATTGACAGACAAGCCAGTGGTGGTTCGAAAACAAGGCCCAGCCCTTAGCCACCATGAAGGGAAGAAGCACCAAGGGGGCAGAGATGTGATCTGTCTGAGCTGGAGTTGGTAGGTAGAGTGGAGGCCAGATGGGCTGGACCACTGCAGACAGGCAGTGAGCCCACTGTCACAGGGAGTAATCAAGGGCAGGACGGGCCTTTGAGGGTATCCCGAGCCATCTCAGCCATCCTGACGACCGCCACAGCCATACCATGGCTTCAACTCCAGGATGAATCTGTGTCCAGGCGGTCATCAGGCAAGGAAAACCAGCTTGAGCCATGGCTCAAGGTCAAGCTCTGGCCTGCGTGGCTCCCAGGCTGCTCCTGGGGAAGCTGGGGAGGCTCCCACCCCCGGCGGCCAGGGGCATGATGCAGTTAACCACGGCTTTCAGGGAATTCCACACAACTCCACACAACTCCAAGGCCCCTTGGAGGTGACCAGAGACCCAGATGGACACCCCAGCAGCCCAATGACATTAAAGTACCGGCTTCGAGTAGAAGGAACCACCGGCCTCTTGGAACCTCCATGCCCCAGATAGAGCCAGGTCCTCTCCTCCAGAAATGTGAGCCCATGGTGCACCAGTGTGAGGGGACAGACGGCCGTGAGGGGGGCCCTGAGCCACACACACGCCCCACCCCTGTCCCCAACCTGGAACATCTGGTTCCCAGACTGGTGCTTTCGGGAGCATAGGTCCTGGACCAAGAAGGAAAGTAGGCCTCGGTCATGCCGGCCACGGCCCGCTGGCTTCTCTGCCTGGGCACCAGACCCTGGAGGGTGGGCTCGTCATTTTAGGAGGAGGGCCCATGGCCTTGTGTCTTGGGAGCTGCTAGTGGCGGTTAAATGCCGTGGGAGCCTCCGCCTGTGGCCGACAGGGGTCCAGCCCCGAGGTGAGGGCGGGGTCCGCACGGCAGAGGCAGAGGGGACCTGGCTGGCCAGCCGCTGCGTGATGGGAAAGCCCAGCTAGCCCCTGCAGGCCGACACCAGCCTGGACGCCTAGGGCTACCGCAGTGAGAGGCCCCGCTCTCCTGGGCCCCTCCTGGGGGAGGGAAGGGCCGGGGTTCATTCCGGTCTCCGTTACATATGGTGACCCTGGCACAGACTTGTCCAAAGAGGAGGACCTGGGACCTTCTGTGGAGGGAAGGCGCAGGGAGTGTGCTGGGAAGTCTCTGCCTCAGACTACACACGGGGAGCCGCTGGTACGTTCCACCTGCCCCCCACAGCGTGGCGCGGTCAGGAGGCCCGCTCAAAGCCAGTGTCCTACAGACAAGGGTCAAGCCTGGCCTGACCACTGAAAGCAGCACCTTTCCCCAGGGTCCCCGACGGGGTCACAGCCAAGCCCCAGGGTCCCCGGCTGCCCGGCCTCCGATGACAGGGAAGAACGGAGCTGGGCCCTGCGGTCTCGCCTGGGCTCTGGCTGGCGGGAGGTTGTCTGAGGAACCACCAGGCTGAGGCACTCGAGGCTCCCTTCCCAGAGACGGGCTTTGCTTGGGTTTCAAGCCTGGCGAAGGGTTCCCCACGTGTGGGGCTTTCTGGCCTCTGGACGTGGGGGGAGCAGGTGCCGTGCGGATTCTCTCCACTGCCCACCTGAAATGCTCAGGACACACTGCTAAGCCCCTCATCTTGGGGGGCACAGGATACCGTACCCCCCACCGGCCCAAGGCTGGCATCTCCTCCCAAACGCTCAAGACCCCAAAGTCACTGAGACACCGATTTTTCTGAGTCAAAGCAACAGGTCAGCAGTGGTGTTTGTGGACTGTGGAAGCCCACCCAGAGACGCTGTGTGTGCCCAGATGCTCACCCCAGCTCAGCCCAGGGCCAGGGAGACACTGGGCGAAGGGGCGGCCTGCCCGCCACATCCCTGGCAGCAGGGCCTCTGGCTCACGCCAGGTCCTGGCCAACCCTCACACCCCACTGCAGCCTGGCTGCCCAGCTCCTCTGAGGCCAGGGCCACCTCTGATGGACTTGCAGCCCTCGAGTAAGCTGCTGGGTGCTGGGAGGGCTCCCCTTGTCCCTCTCTGGGCTCCAAGTGTAAGAGCTTTGACAAAACACGATGTGCTGTCAGCGGGTAAGAACTTGTACTAACTCACTTGTCCTCACAGCAGCTCCGTGAGGCAGGGACTGGGGCCAGCCCCGCATTATGGATGAGGAATGCCAGGTCCAGAGAGGTTAAGTAGCTTGCCCAAGACCACACAGCCGCAAAGTAGAAGAACCAGGATTTGAACCCCCAGGGTCAGGCTCTGAGCCATGATGAGATCGTCCCTCTCAAGGGCCCAATGGTGGGCATTTATGGGTTCAGGGTGGAGGGCCCCCAGCCCTGGCTTGATTCACGGTAATGCTTGGAGCCTCACACGGCTCCAGGGGACCTGCACTCTGCCCACTTGGTGCCCCAGCCCTTGGTTACTCACTTGTGTGAGGCGTGAAGGAGGGGAGCCGGGTGGCCCCCTGGGACACGGCAGGCGCTGGGGGCGGCATGCCGGGGGGCGTGGAGCGGGGCTGCGTCTTCACCTCGGCGGGCGAGTCGGGCATCGTTGCTGTCTTCTCCTTCCTGTCCACTGCGGGGGGCCACAGGGAGGGGAGAACAAGAGAGGCACGGTGAAGCAGGCTAAGGGGACGCGAGGGACCCACGCTGGGTGTGGACCTGCGCTGCGGGCGCCCGGGGCTGGGGGGGGCGCCTGGCTCTGTGCACAGCTGGTCCCAATCCCAGGGCCCGGTGTGCCCCAGACAAGCCTCAGCTGTGCTCCCAGGCGGCTGACATCCCTCCCACCTGGGCTCAGAGGGCAGGCGTGGGGCAGCCCATTTCCGGTGGGCTGGAGGGCGGAGCTGGGAGAATCCTGGGTCAGTGGGAACAGGACTCTGGGGTCCTTACTGGGGGTGGCTCTGGGGGGGCTTGGGTTTACTCCCCTGCAGACCAGGGGGCTGGGTGGCAACCCCCAGGCAGCGGCTTGCAAACACTCACTCCGTCAGCGTCCTCTGGAGGGCGTGTGCAGAGATGTCAGCCTCCCCACCCTGTTTCTGATGCTGCAGGTCTGGGGAAGGCCCAAGAATCTGCATTTCTAACAAGGTCCCAGGTGGGGGGCTGCAGGTGGTTGGACACCCCTCCCGGAGAAACCATGGTTCCCAGGACCCTGACAGCTCTCAGATGTCAAAAGGCTCACCCTGGGTGGGGGGTCTTCCCAGGAAGGCCTGGGAGGCAGACCCTCTGGGGGTGGCAAACCGCTATTTAACCACCTGCCGGCCTGGGTAATTCACACTGTTCTAGGCCTGGCCACTCGATATGTGGTCCGCAGACCGACGGGTCGTGCGCCCCTGACCTTGTCAAGATTCCCATGCGGTCCGTGACACTCTGCTAAGGGTCAGGTGTGGAGATGTGCCATACCAAGGCCTGGAAGGGCCCTGAGCCCCGGGGCCCCCACAAAGCAGGGCCCACAGGAAAGGGCCTCTGGGCGAATCTGACCAGCCACACAAACCCTGAGCCAGCAGCTGGTCATTTCTGCAGCTGGAGGACGGCGCGCCCCGGGCCTCCCCCTCTGTCTTAACTCGGGTCAGCCAGTGCCCGGGCAGGCCGAAAAACCACAGAGGCGGTGGCTGGGATTTGGGGCAGCCCAGCTGCTCGAGCCGTCAAGGTGGGTGAGCTCTCCCTGTTACGGAGGCACAGCCTGTGCGGCCCCAGCCCCTGCCCCGAGCTCACCCTGCCAACGCCGATGGGGTCTCGCCTGGGGCCGGGGCTGCACACCTGTCAGCTGCCTCTGTGTGACTACATCTCACGTGCCCTCTGCTGCTCTCCCACCCCCTCTCCCAGGGCCCCGCAGCACAGGACGGACGCAGACACACATGTGCACCCGGGGCAGCCAGCCTCTGTGGGTGGTGATTAATAACGCCGACAGATGGCGTTTACTGTTACCTCGCGCCCGATCTGCGGCAGCCACCCCCTTCACAGAGCGGAGATGCCCGTCGGGGCTCTGACAGCCCTCTGCACGCCGGGGCCCCGCGGGCTGACAGTGAAGAGGACCCCTCCCCGCTGGGCCCCCCGGAGCAGGGAAGCAGCCGGTAATTAGCGGCCACCCGGGCCACGCCGCACCTGCTGTCCACTCAGCTGCAGCCGCTGGCCTCCCTCCCGCCAGGCGCCCTGCCCCCCCCCGCAGCCCGCCTGTCAGGGAGCTGACGGCCGGGCACACGTGCACCACAGCTGTGGGGGCCCGTCAACGCCGTGCCTGGCCGCAGGGCCGGCCGCCAGTCGCTGGTGACAACCAAAGAAGGCAAATGTGGCCGGCCACCGTGGGCCCTGGGCCACCCCTGCAGACCCGTGCCGGCCAGCCCTGGGAGTGACCAGGCCCCCTGGGGCAGGCAGTCCCCCCGGCCGGCATGGGGGGCTTTTCAGACATGTGGCCGGCTCCAACTTGCCAAAGCCCTTGCACGCTGGGGGCTTCGTTCCGGCCTCACGCTGAGGACAAATGGCACAGAGAGAGCAGAGGGAGCCTGCTGGGTCCGCGCCGCCCACCCCTCCCTGGGCGCTTGTGTGATATGCACGGCCAGGGGTGCGGACCGCAGGTGCTGGGCGCCAACACAGCAGGTCCCTTTGAGAATCCAGCTGGTGGACACTCAGCCCAGGGCCGCCCGCTGAGCCCCGAGGAGGGAACAGGCAGCTCCTTCCAGCGCCCACGACCTCTGTGGCAGAAAGGGAAGGTGAGGCCTCCCGTTTCCTGAGCAGAGACGCAAACTGCTCGCGGCTTGCTCCATGCCCTTGACAGTCGCGACTCCTTATTCTTGCGGAGGCCCCGGGGGGTGGGGGTGCCGCGGCCAGCCCTGGCTCACAGGTACAGAGAGGCGCGGTGTCTGCCACAGGCACACAGCGGGGCTGGGCATGCCCCCACAGGGTCGTGCGGGTTTGCAGGGCTGCGAGGCCTGCCTGCCCCCGGTGCACCATGTTCTTCCAGAGGCCGCGGCGGGGCTGGCATGCAGACCTGGCTGCAGGGGGGTGGGGGTGGCAGCCCCGGGGCACAGGTGCGCCGTGCGGGACCTCCCGAGTCTCTGGTGCCTTGTTTGAGTCCTGGCTCTGCTGCTTCTCACTGAGTGACCTGGGGGGGTGCTCCCTGCACCTCCCTGAGTCTTTATTTCCCGATAGAGGGGGTAGGAGTCTGTGCACGCATGCGCTCAGTGAAATTCGGCAGAGGTTTATGGAACGACGGTGCACCAGCACTCTGCTCTGGAGGCTGCCGTCGGCACAGACCCCACCCCAGAAAATGACAGAGGCCGTCGGGGAAGAGCGGAGGAGGTGTGGCGAGGGGCAGGAACAGCGTTTGTGCTGCAGGAATGTGCAGAGTGTTCGGGAGTCCCGGTGAGGAGGCGTGTGCAGGGCCTCCAGCACGGAGGGTACAGAGGGTCAGCGGGGCTGGGCTGGTGCACGTGGACCTGCTCTGTGGGCAGGAGGGAGCCACTGAAGGCTCCACACGGCAGCCAGAGCGAGCCTCAGCTCGCACGTCCACTCTCCTGCCCAACACCTGGCAGCAGCCGCCACTGCGCGTGTGGCTTCTTGCTGACCCAGGCCACCCTCCCGCCCCGTCTGGGCCGCCGTCCACCGCAACCCTCACCCCTCTCCCCGCACCCAGAGCACCCTGCCAGGAACGCTCCTTCCCTCTTGGTGGTTCCGCTCTGGCCTCATGTCCTCAGGCGACACACCCCCCACACTTGAGCTCCTCACCCTCTGGAACGTCGCCCCACGCGGGGATGACCTTGCCTTCTGGTCCACCTGTATGCAGGGAGCGCGTGGGGCGGAGACGTCCAGAAGGCTGGGCTGTGCACACACTCAATGCAAGAGCAAGACGCAGGGCGGACTGGGGTCTGAAGGCCCCCGGGGTCTCCCTGCCTCGGGACTGGAGGGGCCGGCCGAGCAGGGACAGCAGGGTGGGTCCACTTAGGGCCCAGGCTTGGAGGGAGCTGGATGCTGCCCCCCCAGAACGAGTCACTGCCTCTGTGAGTCTCGCTCCTCGCTTCTCGCCTCAAGCCCACCAACTGCCCACCTCCCTGGTGTGTGGGACAGATCAAAGGAGACAGAGGGAGAAATGCACTTAGCAGAGGCCTGGCACCCTCCACGGTCACATTGCGGGTGGCGGGGGCTAAAGTCGCTGTCCTTACCTATCATCTCCTCCCCATCCCCAAGGCCCCAGGCTGTGTGTGAGCCAACTGGCCCACAGCCCCTGCGGCCTGTGGGCAAACGGTAATGAGCTGCTGGACTGGGGCAGCCTTGTTCTCCTGCGCTGGCTTCCTGCCCTGCCCCCTCTCGAGGCTGCTTGCCAAGCCAAGGGCCGCTCCCTGGCCCCCCGAAACCCACCGTGAGGCTCAGACTCCCCGCGGCTCTCACGGACTGGTGGCCAGCACGAGGCTGTCTGGGCAGAACCCTGCGCCCATAGCCACAGGAGCTGGCCGGGCTCAGAGTGCAGGGGTGCAGGGGAGGGGCTCCTGCATCAGATGCTGGGTGCCAGGGGCCAGTGAGGGGTTCAGTCCTGCTTCCTGCCAAGGCTGTGAGCGAGGTCTGGCTCAGCTCCCTGGCAAGGCCAGACCCACCTGGAGACCCCGGGAGGGTCCTGTGAGGCCACTCGTCTCCTCCCTCCTTCTCAGGTCCCCTCAACGTCCCTGCCCAGTGTCCTCACCCCCATGCTCTGCACACAGCGTCTGGTAGAATTCCCATGCCCTCCCCCCCAAAACGTACTGTCAAGGCCCTCTCATGTCCTGACGCCCCAGGGTCACCCGGCCCGGGAATGGCAGACTAGGCCTGACCTGCGCCCCCCGTCGCGAGCTCCGACGGTCCCCTCCACGCCCACCCAGGCCTCTGTCTCCCACACTCCTCATTCTGGGGTGTCTCCAGGCTCTTAGTCCCACAGACCCTCCACCTGACAGTGGGGGTTCCCCTGGAAAAGCTCCCTTTAGGGGGCTCTGGTTAGGCAGATCTGGTCAAACCTCATAATGTTAACATATGAAAATAAGGATATCAGCTGCCCCCATGCAGGGCCTCACACACATTAGTTGGTCTATCCCTCAGGTCAGAAAAAGTGAAGTGACCCCAAGGACCGATTTTTATTAGGAATTCCACACGACAGGCTGGTTATCATGCCCATTTTTAGATGGTGAAGCTGAGGCTCAGGGAGGGTGAGTGACTTGCTCAGGTCTCAGAGCCGGAAACACAGAGGGTACCAGGCAGAGGGCTGAGCCCGCCCCCTCCCCACCCCGGCGCCGCCACCACCTGCGAGACCAGCCTGGGCTCTGACCCGACGCTGCCCGGGAACGATACGTGGGCCAAGCGGCACACAGGAGGGGCAGCTGCCTGGGGTCAGAGGTCCCTCATTGTGAGTCAGTGGCATCCGAACTCGGGCAGGTGAGTGCAAGGACCATCTTCCCAACAGCACGGAGCTCCTTCTGATCTCGTCACGCCCAGGAAGAAAAGGGACCCGGCCACCAGCATCCCCGTGCCCCTCCCAGTTCCTTGGGCAGCAAGGGTGAAGGCACCGCGGTTCTTTCCGCGCAACCCGCCAGGCCCAGCTTGGTGAGTGCAGAG